TAATTAGAATAAGCTTTCCATATTTTAGAGTTTGTTTATTTGTATGCATTGAACACATGAGATATTTTTCCAACAAATACATTTTGTTCAGATTCCTGTGTACCTGCGTACTACAGTTAATTGCAGATCCTAAATTAGGTCTGGAGATAGAAGTTATATATTTAGTCTGGAGGAAAAAATGTCTGTTTTTACCAAGGTTGTTATCAACTATATTATAACTCTTTCTCACTGAATTTTTGTTTCCTTGAATGGTGTCCTGGCACTGCATGTTAATATCTACAAATGCAAAAAGAACTTTTAATAGCATTAAAGCTGCCTGAGCCTGTGTTTCGCTTGGTTGTATGAATCAGGCATTTATGTTGAATAAACATTCAGAAGAGATTATGTGAACCCCCAGATAATGCTATACTGTAGAAATTGCAATTTTATATGAAATACTTATTTTAACCTTATTATATGCTTGTTAAATCAAAACCGGACTGTTCTTAAATATAAAAAAGGCTTTAAATTTACTGATTCTCTATTTCTGAGATGCAATGGTGTATGAAGTAGAAAAAAATGAAAAATCAACAATCGGTATATGTGAAACAGTAAGTGAAGCCCAAATTTAATCAGCACAAATAAGTGGGTAATAAGAACCAGGTGGTAAAATTAATGGTGAACAAGTAAACAAGGACTGTCCTACATAATGGTTGGAAACTTTGTGAGTTTAGTCTATACCATACAGATTGGAAGAAATATGTCATGCCATGATTTCAGAGGACCCCAGAAAAAGAGACGATGATGCTGTTCAGTCTGGAGAGGGTTCCAAAAGTGTTTCTAAAGATACGGAGGATCAATCCAAGACCACAGTGATTTTTCATGCCTTAATCATTAGGAATACACTGAACGGGAGCTGATTTCATGGGATGATAACCTAGAAGAAACCCTGGCCCTGCAGGGCGCCTGGAACAATCCCCAGGACTACCGAAAAGTTTAAAGTTTGACCACAGTGATAAATACTTAACGTGACAAAATTCGAAACTTCTTTAACACTTTGTGTAGCTCAGTGAGTAAAGACCAATACTCAAGCCTAAGGATGGATTTTGTTGTCTAGGGTTACTGGTTCAAATCTGGGCTATATCATTGCCCAACTATTGCTGGATAATACACAACACTGATTTTACCAATGGCTTTGAGCCATTGGTCTTATTAGCAATGGGCACTTCAGTACCCTATCTGAAGCCTTAATGTCTTGAATTGAAGTTCAAGCCCATAGAACACTCTTAAACAGTGTGAACAGAATCCGATGGGATGATAGCATACGTGCCAGAGAACAAGCCTCGGTTTTTTTTAATCTCTTCTGTGCTGGTGGGAGGGCCGTAGTGGTGAGGTGAGCTGATTTTCTCCAAACTGGATGGTGTAAATGAAACATGCCTCTCAATTTCAGATTTCAATTTAAAAAGAATATTGACCTAAATTTAGGATCTCAAATATGCCTAATTTTGGAAGTGTCTTACATTCACAATACATACAGCAAATTACAGTTATCAATTATACTCCATCTTGATGAAAATAGCCAGTGAATAAAATAGTTGTTTAGCCCTAACACTGAGAATGGGAACTGGAGGTCGTACAAATAGTCATCAATTTGTCAAGGTTTGGTATCAGTGTTACCACGTTGTAGCCTGATCTTGTCAGATCTCAAAAACGAATCAAGCTTAGAAAGGCTGGGCCTGAACAGTTCTGGGATTGGAGACCATCGCAGTACTGGGATGGGAGAGACTGGGATGCAATGTTAAATCAAATTCCTTCCTATTAAGTTATTAAAGGTGGAATGGCTAAATGTCAGGACTAATGTCCCTCTGGGCTTGTATTGTACAATCTGGCCTTCCTGAAGTTCCCCATTAATTCAGTTGCCAAAGCAAACCCCATCCTAATATGCAGAGTAGTGGGGCTACTGCTGTATTCTACATAGGTGTGTAATGCAATATGTAATGTGCTTTGAGATGCGTTGGATGAAAAGCCCTTTCTAAATGCTTTAAGTGGAGTGTTTGTGCTTTTAGTAGTGTCCAGAAAAGTGCAATATAAGTATAAGGAAGTATTATTATTTGTAAGCATTTAATAATCAAAATAAATATATTAAAGTGATTAAACATATTCTTGAAACGCCTTACTAATAATGGAGAATGGGTTTTCCAGGAATCTTAGTAGGGAGCCAGCAGAGAAGGACACAGTTGGGGGTGTGATGCTACAGTATGGCGATATATGGTATAGTAGATATATGGCAGTACTCGCAGCTTATTTGTTACTATGAAAATGAAGCTGAAAGGTATCCAGGCAGCACCTCAGTGTGGGAGCCAAACCAGTTTTCAGATTGCAGCCGAATACATCTTTATATCCTCCCTGTCCTGCTGTCACAGAAGCATTCCATTAGAAACTGTATATAATGTTTAAACTGAATTAAGAACATATGCAATACTGATACAGGAGTTGCTGGTATCAAACCTAACCTATTATCCATACAAACAGAATTCATTCTCAACTCCTTCAGACACCTCTAGGAAGCAATGTAGAATAATTTACATTGGTTTATCTCTCCAGTTATACAACACACATGAGGGTTATTTAGCCTAGAATATGGATACACAGGATACACAGGAGGCAGTCATTTAAGACAGTGGATAATCGTATATAATACTTCCACTGAATAATACATCTGTACAATGACCTGCTGAGCTATTTGCCAGGGACTGTGTAGGGCAATTGCTGTTGTTCATACAGACATTGTCTATATTTGAAGTCTAGGATTATGCATACTTTCAAGGTCATACATTGTGAAGTACACTTTTAATCTTGACGGCAGTTACATTTTATAATGTAATGGAACAGTGCAATTAATGTTCAATGACAGAGGAGTGCTTTAAAGTTAATTAGATGTAATTAAACAATTATTGCTAAGGTAAAATTGGAAAAATGCATAGCTTGTATGATTTACTGTATTAGTCCTAAACTTGGTTTATCACTGTTGACTACAGTATGTACAGTTAATTGAGATTTAGTACATTTTTAAAGCACAGAATCTATTGAATAACTTGTCTGTCTGTGTCTTATTTCTGTCTTGTATCCAATTTTAGAAAACAAGCTGCTCAAACTATGTCCACTGAAAAAACAAATCATTGTAGTATATAAATGTGCTTGCATTGCTGAATTATACTGAATATATTTCATTCTTCATTAATTGTGTATGGATAAAAAGACAAAAGAGGAAGAAGTTACTTTTCTTTCTTAGTTTACCTGAATGTCACTTCACTTGAAACACTTGTCCCAGTAGCCATCAAGCTTGGCCTAATTTTGTCAGACATAACATTTAGAAAATGTTGAAAAGTTCTAGGAATTATGAAAATGCTCCTTCAGTTGTCAGTTAAAGTGAATATTTATGTTTTTGTGGCTCTATTCTTGAAAAAGACATTCGTAGGTGGAAGGCTATAGAAATTCAAATGGGATTTCCATGCATGCTTGTCATTAATACTAAAGCCCTAGTTTTTGACATCATCCTTCTTTTGTTTTATTATTCTTATAAATAATAAATAAGCTTGCAGTTTAGCCAGATGAGCTGTCCTGTAGTTTGTAGTATTGTTTTCTAACTTCTACAATTCAAGGCAATACAATTTAAATATTTAAGGTCCAATATCCAATCCTGCATATTTGCAAAACTCACCTTACTGCACTTTTATAGATTTGAGAATTCCACCTTGAAAGATATCTTGAGTACAGAAAAAGGTGCAGTTACGGGTGGGCAGAAATAGAATCTAGGAATTCTCATACGTTCTTTATCATAAGCTACTATATACAGTATCTCACTAACATACAGTAAGGTCAGGCTCAAAAGCAAAGGATCCCAGCTCTAGACCACAGAGTCCAGATCCAGCAAAATATGTCTTTAAATCACTAGATTTAGACTGTGGACAAAACATATCTTTGGCCAATTCAGTCTCATAGAGCAAGCATTGAGTGCCTACAGGATTGGGTAGGCTTGAGTCAGCCAAAGAAGTCTTGAAGTGATGCCCAACAGTGACCCTTTTGGCTTGCTAGATGGTCCTAGGCTAGCACTCCTATTGGTCAGGTCTGCACTTGTCCTCCTGATGTACCCTAGCTCTCTCATTGACACAGTTGGTTCTCAGTGTCTTAACAGGAATTCAACAGCAAGTACATGTGTACATCCATCATCTGCCCTGTCCAAGCAACAGGGTTACAAGAGCTGAGCTGCAAGCTGAGTTGAAATAGGAGGACACAGATTTGGAGATAAAAGAAAAATTGGTAATTCTTAAATTTAAAAAAGTTCAAGTGGGGATCAGTATCTCAATGCAGCAGTTCCCACTCTGCTGCAGTAGCCAATGCATGAACCAAAGCAGTTTGTGGAAATTGATTAAGTGGCAGTGATCTTTTCAAATTTCTGCAATACTGAGAAAGATAAAACTCAGCTAAACTGGACTTATTTTCAGGCAAACAATGGACACAAAAATTGATTTATATTCTGATTGGTGGAATAACATAGGGATATGTCCTATGCTTTTTAATTTACATCATTGTTCTAGACTCCGGTACTCTTAGAAAACTAATCAAGTATGTAGGGGATAGAAAATGGTAAGATTAGCAAACGCCCTGTAAAAGCAAGAGAGGAAATTAAAAATTTGATGGAATTGAAGGCTGGGCAAACACCTGAGAGATGATACTGAATGCCGATAAGGGCAGACTATTATATAAAAGTACCAAAATCATAAACTATAGGTACAAATAGGGAAACACTGAATTTGAAGAAGCTATTTACTAAAAGCCTTAGTAGTTTATGTTGGAGGCCTTTACATTAGGAGTCACACAGAAAGTGATGAACAAACTGATTTTTAAACAACAGAAAACACTTATTTTAGGCGAACTGTCAAATTTAAAAGCCTTCGAGGGCAGTGGAAAGGCACCTCTATCCTCTTTGATCATGCTTTTGTTTTCTTCTTTCCTCACAGGACAGGAAAGGTCAGTCATTGTTATCGCATAACCTACCGCCACATGGAGAGGACTCTGACACAGGATGAAGTTCGAGATGTTCATCAAACTATTGAAAGAGCAGTGGAGCAGGAGCTGGGTGTAGTAGGGAGGTACTAAACCTTGGACACTGAGAAAGGAAACCTCTGATAAGAAATCTGTACCTTGTCTTTATATAGACATCTTTAATCTGCTTTCAAGAAATGGCCTCCGTGTGCTTTATACATTTTCTAAAGGTTATACCATTTATAAGGAGCTCTACTGTATATAAACCCTATTGAAACTTTCTTTTTTTGTTGTTGCTGGAAAATGCACCAGAGACATTTTGCCTAGTGTCAAAGAGATTTTACAAAGATTTTTTCCTGTATTGTGCTGAAGAGAAAAAGATTTTAAAACTAGCCTGTGGAGAACTGCAAAAAATAAATTCCACTTTCTGAAGAGGATGTGATCTCTGAAGTGAGTGTTGCTGTCCATGTTAGCCTGATGGCGTTTGTAATTACAAACCAACAATTTCCTAATTAAATTAAATCAGTCTTGTTGTATGAATTTTGCAGTGGATCTTTGTTTACATAAGCCCACTGCAGGAACACTTTGGAACTTATTCTTCTGTGTTCGCTTTGTTAAAAGACACATGAACTCATCTTGGTGAACCTGCAGCACAATGCAAAAGTTTACTTGGTTCGGAAGGAAGGCATTGCAACAGATCACTGAGTAATACACAGAATTATTGATTGATTTTGTTGTTGTTTGTTGATTTTGCTGTAAATGAACAAAATGCAGTTTGATTTCCGCTTCACACCACAGCTGCTTGTGTGTTTTGTCTCACCGTTCCCTTAAGCATAGTTTAAATGAGAGGATGGTCGCTAATTCAAAGACTATTTAAGTCATATTTCAATGTTGTTTACCAATTGACACACAGAATGTCCGCATGGTATTGTCTCCAGGCACCAGATAACAAAGTATGGAGGACTGGAATGGTTCAAACAAGTAAACTCGCAGAGAGAGCTGTGGAACAAAGCTTGTTCTGTCAACATTGTGACTCAAAATTCACTAAAAGTCCCAGTGGGCACAGCAAACTACAGAAATGGTTCACTGCACTTACAACTACAGAATCTGAAGTAAACAGGCATGTTTTATCTCATGTATACTCACTGTATACATACTCACCAGCTGGTCACTTACATGCTACAAATATTCCCTCTGATTTTCAGCTGCTACAGCCAATACTGTATATACAGTATTGTACTTCCTCTCCTCTTACTGTCCTTATTATGAGACAATGAATTAAGGCTACTGTACGCAGCACCTTGACATTGGACGACACAACTGTGCTTCTTTTTCTTCTTCGAGAGAAGCTTTAGAAATCAAAACAAGAACATTCTGAAGCACCTAAACAAAGTGTTGTGTAAATGGTTTATTGTTTTCAAATGTACTTTTTCTACCAGTTTAAAAAAATATATGGAGTTATTTAAAAGGCAATAAAGTATACTGGAGTATTAAAACCAGTAATTGAACAAACGACTACAAATCATCAGAGCAACCTTATAATTCGTAATCTTTTTCCATCCATTGCAATAACTGTTAAAAATTTAAATGGAAAACACAGTGTGACAGCTCTTTATCAGAAGTACATCTTACATGGTTTGGCCATTTCTGATTCTGATGATTTTAGAAGCCTTCCGTGAATACACTCTCGCTTTTAAAGTGTTTATCTTAAAATGTATTCAACTCATAAGTTTACATCTTATGGTTGAAACCTACATTTACACTTGTTTTACAAACGAGAGACTTTCTGTAAGTAAGAATTCCATTGTACCAGTACCGGTTACATATGGCAATAAAGTTCAAGTTCAAGTTCATGACAAGTATGTGCACAGTGCACACTTAAAAAGGAAGCTGAGGCAGTCTTTTATTTAGAGACTGAAGGTGTGCGGAGGAAGACTTCTTCAGTGAACATAAAAGAAAGCAAAGCAGCCTAGAGAGAAAGAAATGATGGAATCTCTTTTTTTCTGCTCGTAAAGCCAACAAATGTCAGCCCTGACACCCACTAGGAACTATGAGGAAAAGATTGAGGAATTTTGTTGCTTTGTTTTGCTGCTCTTTCATTAAATATTTGCCTTATTAACAATAAACTAGACTCATGCATGCAATTTGTTTCCTGCTAAAAACTGTTTCCTTGGGCCTCAGCCTATAAAGGTCATGTAAAAGAGGCCGTTCCTCTGTGTGTGTTCCAGTATGCACACAGGGCCCATGAGACTCTAAGAGATGATTCAGCACAAGGGGCAGTTACACTCCTTTCTGGAGATCTAAATCATCTCCAGCATTCAAAACTTTTTATCTAGCAACATAGAGAAGTGATGGAACAGGTGCTTGTGTACATGTCATTGCAATGAAAAACACTATTCACAACTTGCTGCCTGTTCAGATGTTTCCTATATGCAACACAATAGTGAACTACAGCACAGAGTCACTGACCATTTTCAAAACTGAGCTACAGTATGAACTTCCTTGGAGAACTTTGTTGCCACACTCCTTTTCATCATGTATTGCATTGATAGTTTAGCATTACTTGTCAGTCAACTGTATGTCATTGCTCATCAGTAAATGCATTTTGTTGTATGAAATAATTACGGTCATTACATTTTTACCATGATAATAGTGAATACAAATTTCTGACTTTGACAAGTTTTCTGTTAAAAACTACTGCTCATGGCATACTTGTCTTTTGCAAATTTCTGAACAATGAGCTTTATTAATTGTTACAATAGCAGACACCATTGATTTATTTTAATCGAGCAAGGAAAATGAAAAAATCCAATGATGGAAACTTGTAAAAGGTTCTAAAGAAGTGTGAAGATATAAAAACTGCTAAAATATACAGTGATTCACAGAAAGAAAACTTCACAGGTAAATAATAATGTCCTTTAAAGGAATGTTTGATATCTTGGCGTCAAAAGGGTGAGATGTCACATGTTCAATTAACTGAGATTATGTAGTTAAATAATCAGAATGCCATTGAGTAGAAAACGATTTCACCCAAAAACAAATTACTTTTTTGAAAAACTGAACAAGAGAAATGTCAGTTAAGAAAAATTTAGAAGGAAGAGGAAACTTTATCATACATAAAATACTTAAAATGCAACAAATGACTATTACTGTAACAATAATATTTGTTGCCTTTTAAATGCCTCAGTTTATGTAGTAGAAACAAAGACCATAAGAAGAGCACTGCCATAAACAGATCAAAAAGGAGATCTAATACGCTGTGAAGAAATTTGCTAATAGTGTTTATAGTAATCCAAAAACATTATTCTAATATGGTGCATGAAGAAGCGTATCTCTTAAAAAGGTTCTAATAAAATATTGTGTTCTTTGACAGTGAAAAGTATATAGTAAATGAGTTTATCATAATACTCTGCTAAAGCCAGCACAATTAAACATGCCCTAAAACCCCCTAGCACTGCTGCAACTTCATCATTCTGACGCTTCGGTTACTATAGCATAAAGAAGCAGAAGTACCTGAGTAATGACATTAACGTAATAAATCATGAGCCTGGGTGGTATGTCTGTGTCTGTACTTAAGAAAATGCATGGAAATGTTTACAAGAGAATGAGGTTGGTCACTCTTCCAGTTTCAGTGATATCCTTGCCATAAAATATGTAAGAATGTTCATATTTTGAAAGGCTGACATATCTCGAAAGGTATGCAGACAAATACATTTTGCACAAAAGGTGTCCGCATATATGCTTGGACATTTTCAGTTCTGAGTCACACTGTATACTGTATGAAAATACATTTGTTTAAGGATGTTCAGGTAAGTACAATGAACATTCAAAGGCAATGCTTTTCATAGCACCACCTTTATGTTCAGAAAGAGGAGTGAACAGTGACTTAATAAGCATGAACAAGCCAAGCCATTTCATTAGCTGAGAGCATGAGGACTCAAGTGAGAGAGTGAAATGGCTACAGTAATAACAGTTTGCAGAAGGTTTTAGTATCTGTGGTCACCCCCTTCTTAGAACATCTCCTTAGATCAGGAAAGGGCCGGGTGAATAGAAACAACAAAGATGAAGTCCCATCCTTTGAGATCTGAAAACTGATGCTGTACTTTCTGATTGTAGAATTTGTCACCTAATTAAAAAAGTGAGATGGATTTGAGTATGAAATATTCGTCCTGCTTTCCAAACATGGCCAAGTTAGGAAGCAATGTATTACATTGAAAATTTAATTTCTTTCATTCTCTGCTTCCTTTTTCTTTTTTAGATGGATTATTTTGCTGTCCCTGATTGTGTATGTGAGAGAAATCCATTCAAGCTTAGTAGAGCAAAATCGGTTTCAGATTTCTCACAACAGCAATTAATCTGAGGAGATCTGCGACATCCTGTGCCCAAGTGACACTCACAGTTCACTAACATGACCATGTAATAGCGAGGCAATAGTCCTAATCTGATCTCAATGAGGTGCAGGAGAGAAACAGCTGCAATCTGTGTCATTAATCTGGCTTGGCTGTTTCACTCCCAGTAAAGATAAAGAATTTACGGTTCTGTTAATCTTCTCAATAGTCTCACCTGACACTGAGGCACTTCACAGAAGCTGCACTGTGGAGGGGATAAATAATAGGCATTTCTTTTGGCTTTTGGTCAGTTCTTTATTTTTTCAAATTCTGTTGCATAACATTAAAAAACATTTTATATTCTGTAGGACGTGTCTCTAATGTTGGTTTTTAACCAGAGCGGCCTGCTTTTGTACTTGGAAATACTCTATGCGGAGAGGAAAGCTCGGTGTACTGTATGAAAATTAACTGCCTAATCACTTTTCAATGTGCATTTTTTATCCTGCAAAAAGGAATATGTTAGTCCAATTACAGTGCCTTGCGAAAGTATTCGGCCCCCTTGAACTTTTCAACCTTTTGCCACATTTCAGGCTTCAAACATAAAGATATAAATTTTTTATTT